GGAAGGTTATTGGTATACAAGTAGGGGACAACATTTGTATTGATTTGAGTAATTTTGGGATGATATGGCCCAATCAAGTTCTCCAAAATTTTCTAATTTGTTTATGTGAGCAAATTTGGATAAACAATGTTTCTATAACTGAATTAATACTAATTAAATAGATTTAAGTTAATAATCCTTTTTTCTTAGGCAACACTTAATTTTAGATTATGTTTCCACTTAATTCTTATATACTTAGCTCATCTCATAATACCAATTCAAAGCTGAAATTGATTAAATTGGCATGCACATATATTTTTGTTACAAAGATTTGAAAACTTATAAACCCAAAATTGGAAAAAGATAAATGAAGGTTGGTACGATTTCATGTCACTATATTTATAATACAAAGTTTTTTAATCTCTTAATGGGACCTTGTGAGTTTTGGGTATAATGTAATCATCATTAAAGCCAAATTGTCACCATATTTCCAGCTAATATAAGGTAGAATGTTGCACTCCAAACTCTACATTATCAATAATATATCCTTCACCCTTTTTCTTTTATTTTTGTTGAGTTCTTCTTTTGAATTTAGTGTATAGTTTTTGATAACTTCATTTTCATGAAAAGTGATGCTGTCAATTGGCAATTTGAATACTATATTAAAGTTTATATTTTAGGGAATATGTGAATTATGTAAAGAACATTTAGAGGGTGAAATCAAATTTATTCACAAATATGGATATAATTTTTTTTTAGGTTGAATTATAAATTTAGTTTCTGAAAATTAGAGTAGTATGCCAGCGAGTTTGGGATACCTTTCGAGAGGATAAAAAGTACTTTTAGTTCATTAAAATTATTTTACAAAATTTTTATAGCATTTGAGGTAAAAAATCAAAAGTCACTACAAATATTGAAATACGTCAACATAAGTATAGCTTAGCGATAATTAGTATCTCCTCCTCTTAATTAGTATTTATTTCAAAGTATTAATAGAGGAAGAATTGAGTCGTTCGTGGATTAAAATCTTGTTATGATTGGATCATTATGATAATATCATGATACCTTTTTCTTTTGTTGATTCAAAACTATAAGAACCCCAAAATAAATTACTCATCTCCAATTGATATCCAAGTTGAAATCTAGATTAAAGGGAAGGTGCAATRATATATTCTTTTTTGTTTCCAATAGAGGCAAATAATAAAGTTAAAAAAAAGAATCTTCCATTTTATTTAAGAAATAAATGGAACCCATATTAATTTCATTGTCCATAATGATTGTGACATCTTATCTAACATAATTAGAATATCTCTTTGAGCATAAAGTGTTTATTATCCTTTCCAAAAAAATAAATAAATAAATAAATAAAGTGTTTATTATCACCATTCTCACAAATCAATTATGACTTTGCATTATTTTATTTTTCTTCATTTTTTTGTTCTATGGTTTGTTACAACTCACAACTTATTCCAAATTTAAYTACTCCTAATTGAGGCAAGCAACCAAAAGCTAAATATATCCATCATTTTCTAACTATAAATGTTGGCTTACAAACCAACCACTCAATTCTTTTATCATTTGCTCTTCTTTAATAAGTTTTAGTTTTTACTCTTTTTTATAAGGTAGGAGGTGATTTTTCATTGAACACGTGATAACCACTGATAAGAYATTGATGATGAGTCAGCGCAAATATTTGACTTATAAAATTCTCACCTCGTTCTCATAATAGAAGTCAAACTGAATTATATGTTACCTYGATCGCTTAGTATACAAGTCGAGTCATGGAACTTACTTCCTCATCAGTCACCTAAATTKCCTGTCGTGTCGATTAGAGGACACTCCTTTAGGAAATGACATCTGACACACTCTACGACAACACACCATAATTATAGAGAGACGTTGGAGGTTTGTTGGACGCCCTGTTGGAAGCTACATCTATAAATAGAGACCCCGTCTCACTTTCAGGTACGTGAAACTATATTCTCTCTCAAATATAGTTTGGCCACATATTGATTTGGACGTCAGAGCTCACTAGTCGAGCCAACACTCGTCCGAGCCAAACTYCGCAGAYTGGTTAGAATCCTGATTGTAATTATCTAAGTAAATTAGGTGGATGAAAATTGATGTATCATACGTTTCRTACGCCATTTATATTATTTATACAATTTAATTGAATAATGACGGTCGAGAAAGAATTTTCTTTTTATTAATAAAAATTAAAGTTGATATATTCATTAAACTATAAGTTCAAAATAAAATGAAAGAAAAGAAAATATACARACCTAAATGTTAAATAAAAGTAATAAAATGGAGGAATTATAGTTTGTAAGGTAACCATTTACCTAACAATATGCTGAAAATTACAACATTATCCAATGGTAAGATGAAAATCGATAGAGTTTTTTTTTTTAATATTGTTCCAAATGAAACTTATTTTTAAAATATTAAAAATATTGTACTTTTAAAAAACAGAAGGTTGGTCAAGACGACCATTTAGATGTGGGCGCCACGTAAATTTTTTTCTTGACCATTTAGATGTGGGCGCCACGTAAATTTTTTTAAAAATAGTACTATGTGGGATTATAATATTTCTTCCGTTTGAATTTTGATTAATGGTTATAAATAAAAAAGAAAGATGCATGACCCATGATTTGTACTTGGGATGGAAGTGTTATCAGGATAACTATACACCCACTGTACCATTAAATAATATTTTATTGAAAAAAAACTTAAAACAACATTATCAATATTTTAAACTTGTAAACATTTTACCCTTAAGAATAAAATTAAAACTTAAAAAACGTTACTAA